TGAATCCTGTAGTTGTTGCTAAGCACTTCCAATACAGAGTTGAAACATTTTTTACAGAAGTTCTACTCTCTAATGCAAACCCAATTGGTAAAATAGTTTACTATGCATTGCGCATTGAATTTCAAATGAGAGGCTCGCCTCACTTACACGCTTTGATATGGACCTCACATTGCCCAAAGTTAAAAAAAGATAATAAACAGGCATATATTGACTTTATTGACAAGCATGTACAAGCCTACCTACCAGATGAGAATGAAGATCCTCATTTACATGAACTAGTCAAGACCTATCAAAAGCACAGTCATTCTAAAACATGTAGAAAATACAAAAATATTCGTTGCAGATTCAATTTTGGTCAGTTTTTTACAAATAGAACTATTGTAGCTGAGCCGCTATCTAATGACATGAATGAGGACATAAAAATTAGTACTCTAGAAAAAAGAAAAGAAATTCTCACACTGGTAAAAGAAAAGATAGATGATGTACTTAATCCAAGTAAACCAAACTATGACTCTACACTTACAGAATCTGATATTTTTAACTCTGTTGGTATCACAAAAGAGCAGTACTATGGTGCCTTATCTATTTCACCAGACTCTGACTATGAATTACATTTAAAACGACCAATAGATAGCTGTTTTATTAATAACTACTTTATTGCTGGACTAAAAGGGTTTGCTGCTAATGTTGATTTACAGCCAGTTTTTAATCATTACAAGTGTGTAACATATGTGTGTTCATACTTTACTAAAGATGAGACAGAATGTTCTCAAGCTATTATGAATGCTGCAAAGGAGGCTAAACCTGCTAATATGAATGTCAGAGATGGGTTGAAAAAAATTGGAGCTGCATTCTTGTCTACTAGAGAAGTTAGTTCACAAGAAGCTGTATATCGATGTATGCCTGAACTTTGGTTGAGAAAAATATTTCCTGCTGCAGTTTTTGTCAGTACTTACCAGACAAAAGGATTAGAATGGCAAAATCCCAACAAGAACTAGAAGAACTTGATGATGAAAGTACAGAAGTATACAAGTCCAACATAATAGAACGTTACACTAAAAGGCCTTGCATCATCCCTTCCGTAAACAACTTATGTCTTGCACAATTTGTAGCTTATTATTACAAGGATTATAAGAAGGAATGCCAAGAGACAGCTGATGCACAACCTCAGGTGCTTACTGACAATTTGATTGAATCACAACATACTACAGTAAATGAAAACTCCTCACTTCCAGACAAGATAAGATTGATAGACACTAATGAGATAATGAAATGCAGAAAAGTCAAAGCTGTAATAAGGTATCATACACCAAACAAGCAAAAAGAACCGGAGAAATTCTTTCATCATTTACTAATGCTTTACTATCCATGGAGAGATGAGAATAAAGTGCTAGCTGATGATGGTACTTATGCTACAACATACTATGACCCTCATATACAACCCATAGTGGAACATAACAGGTCTATTTTTGAGCCTGACATAGATGCTGTTGCTGAAGCTCTTGAAAGTCTAAGAAACAACCAAAGCAACATTCATTCTTATGATTCAATGAATGATCAAGAAAATGATGATATACACTCTCAGTTAGATGATCAGTCTAATTCTGAAGAATCATTCAATGAACAAATACCTGCACACCTATCTTCAGGTCTTGAATCTAATAATCATCAAGCCTCAGCAATATCACGGTATACACGACCTTCAGATATGACTGATGATGAACTACGCCACTCTGTGAGATCTTTAAATAAAAGACAGCGGTATACATTTAATCATGTTCTCACCTGGTGTAGAAATAAAGTGAAAAATATCAATTGTATTAAACACGAGGATGTTGAAGAAATCTATATATTTCTTACTGGAGGAGGTGGAGCTTAATAACAATATACCATACTGTTACCAAAACATTTAGACATGTTGCTGTTAACCCTGAATTACCATCAGTTCTTTTAATGGCCCCAACTGGTGTTGCTGCTATCAATATTAATGGATCTACTATTAATACAGCTCTAGGTATACCAAAAGAAGCCGGTTCTACTTTAAAACCACTCTCAGACCAAAACCGAACACAATTGAGACTCTTCTTATCTGAACTGAGACTCATAATAGTAGATGAGATTTCAATGGTTGGAAATACCACATTGCTCCATATCCATCAAAGATTACAAGAAATATTTGCTACACCTGCCTCTAAGCTATTTGCTGGAATAAGTATCATTGCAGGAGGAGATTTTTATCAACTACCACCGATAAGGAAAAAACCAGTATTTGAGAATTTTAACATTGATACACATAACCTGTGTCATCCCTGGCATCTTTTTAGAATGACAGAGCTTATCGATAATATGCGTTCAAAAGATGACCAACCATTTGTTGAAATGTTAAACAAATTTCGGACTGCTTCCCAGACAGAGCAAGATATTAAGCACATTCAATCACGCTCAATACAACCAGAAGCCGAAAATTATCCATCAGATGCTATACATATATATGCAGAAAATAAACCTGTTGATGAACATAATAATACCAAACTAAGTCAATTACCAGGAACACTGTTTAATCTTAGAGCAGCAGACCAGTATCCTTCAAATGTATCCAAAACAGATATTGAGAGAGTATTATCAAAGGGTCGTTCTGATACTGGCGGACTAGATTATGACATACATATCAAAGAAGGTGCAAGGGTTATGCTAACAAGCAATATTGATATTGCAGACAGACTCATCAATGGCCAAATAGGTACTATTAATAGAGTTCATGTTAACCAAAATACAGAAAAACCAAGTATCATTTAAATCAAATTTGACGATGAACAAGCTGGCAAAAATGTAATCAGTAAATCCCTCAATCAATTTGTTAAAGTAAACAATGTTGTTCCCATTGAGCCAATTCTTGCTAAAATCAAAGTGAGGCCTGGAAAACCATCTTCACCAGAAATTCAAAGAGTCCAATTTCCCATTACATTAGCATATGCAGTTACTATACATAAAATTCAGGGTCTTACTTTAAATGAAGTTGTAATTAGTTTTGAGTTATTCCGCCAAAGGTCATTTAACTATGGACAAGTATATGTAGCTTTAAGTAGGTCACGTTCATTAAATGGTCTATACACTTTAGGATAGATAAAAGCTAAACATGTCAGAGCTGATCCAAGAGTACATAAAGAATATCAGGGATTACGAGAAACGCTACCCCTTGAACCACAAAAAGGATATCAAGAAAACATTTTGACATTGACTATTTGTCTTCTAAATGTCAGGTCTTTGCAGAAACACAGTATTGATGTAGGACATGACTCAAATCTGTTTGATACCGATATGATATGCTTTACAGAAACACAACTTTTACCAAACATCAATGACATTGATATAAAAAATAATCTGCATCCCTTCAAACTACTCAGGCAAGATCATGCTTCAGATAGATATTCCAGCCTAGCAGTGTGCTCAAAATCCCATGTTGAAATCACAGAATATCACTACTTTGCCGAATTAAATGCAATAACATTCTCTCTTGTCCATAGTATGATACCATATCTAAACATCAAAATACTTTTACTTTATTGTAAGAATGGTCGCAATATTCTTCAATATTTACAAACACTAGAAAATGTATTAAACACCTTTAAAATTGATATAGTTTTTGGAGACTTCAATATAAACTACTTCAATAATAATGAAATTCAGGCACTTAATACTATCATGGAACAATTAAGCTATATACAAACAGTTCAAGGTCCTACCTTTATATCAGGAAGTTTATTAGACCATGTTTATATAAGAAATGCAATGTGGACCTTAACTCATATTATTACATCTATAGTCTCAGTATATTACTCTGATCATGAAGCAATTAAAATTTCATTAACTTTCAAATAAATTTCTAACATGTGTTATACAACAGTTATTTTAAATACATTAATTTTTATTATAAAACAAATTCAAGAAAAAATCAAAACACTTTACTTAAAAAAAGGATTACCAACTTTGCAAGATCAACAAATTTGTATCAAATATCTAACAGTGACCCTCTCTCTCTCCCTACAGTAAATGGGAAATTTATTAGCAGACACCTCTCACAACTTGAGGTGTACATCAATGGCCTGCATTATTGTAGAACAAGGTACGTACAGTTGCACTATTGCAAGTTCTATGAAAACCAATTCTAAGTACTTTTAGAAAACACTTCAAATATACATATTTCAATATTGACTAACTATGATTATATTATCCAATTACAGAAACTGAAATTAACTGAAATCATCAACATTTGAAATTCACACTTCAAAGAATGGGAGAAACAAGAAAAGACTTCTAATACTTCAGAAATCTAAAATAACACTGGCACTGAATTCAACTAAGTTAAACAGCTAAGGAATGTTCAAAGGCAAACAAAGTTAGGAGCGAATTGCTGGACTAACAGAAAACCTGACAGATCGAAATATGGATCCAGTAAAATCTTCATAACAATCATACTTGACAACATCTTCTACAATAAATTTTGAAATGGAAAGATCAAGCCTCCACAAAATATATATATATATCATTATATAAATTTCTCTTATGTAATACCCCTTTCCTTGATATAAATACGAGATGTGTAAAAATGTTCATTGTAGCCTGATGATTGTGTAAAAACATGAAACTTATAGTCGCTACCCGCGTTATGCGTCTTTGATTCCGTTAAAATCATATGATATCATTATATACACATGTCAGAAAGACTTTTTATTATCTATGTACATTGGTCGGCTGTGCGATATACATATCAAATCAATGATCAATGCAGCTCTGCTGGTTTCACTATAGCCATCATGTATATTATGGATTAAACAGATTTTATAGCAGAACATGAACCAAATATCTAATTTCAATGGCAGGCACCAGAATTTAAACAAGACACCATAGTATTGGAACATTACATAGATCATCATCAGATGTTAAACATCACAAGACTTATACTAGCCAGCATGAAGGCTTCTAGTTATTACTACACCATTTTGACAAATACGAAATTATACTAGTATCCATTTTCAAATAAAATCCTAATATTCATTTAGATTTATGAAAAAAATCAAGACACTTTAAGCTTACTTACACTTTCAAATGTAAGATAACATATTCTCTAGCGTTGTTCAAGATCTATGATATGATAGACCACATCAGGATGCTTTTACTCTATTTCAAGAATGCTCGAAATATTCTCCATTATGTATATAAACAATAAAAAATATATTAAAACACATTCACAATTGATATTGTCATGACACATGAATGAAAATAAAGTTGCATTAGTTAATAACATAAGTTCTTAAGCTTAATTAACTTTTGCGTTATGAGCTTACCGTCGTAATTCCATTTCTTTGAAATAAATTTGAACTAGACGCATGACTTCGTGAACTCGCACTTTTCAAAGATATTGTCTCAACAGTCCGACGAGAATCACTAAACACGGATGTACAAACTGTGATCGTTTTTGACTTTATATCAGCCTCCATTTTAACTATTTGAATGTTGATCCGCTGACCGAAATACCGGCTCGTATTCCAATCTATGTTTACAGCAGAATAAGCACAGGTAGCCCAAACTTATTATCAGAGGACGATGACGTAATGTGTTGAACCGTTGATAATTTTTGAATTTTTAATTAGTTTCAAGGTAGGTTCGTAATAAAGCCTTCCAAAACCACTGAAAACTGTAAATAATTATCAGAAATCTCTCAAAAAGTTAGAATGATCATTAAATAACACGTTGGTTTAGTAATATTAACATAAAAGCGTCTCTGGAGTGATTTTGACCACTTCGAAAATTCGCTCCCTTCCGAGTGTACATATATTTAGGAAAGGTTTTCAACTCCCGCTCGAAGCGGCTTCCAAACGCTCGCAATCAAATGATTGTCCAGTCGTTCAGTTGATTGTCTATTGATACTGTTGAATGCTCGCACGTATTTAAATATCGCTATTGAAAGTCGTTTCGCGCCAATGATGTTGCTTACGATGTTCAAGAAAGTACAATAAAAGTTATTGAAGCATCGCTTGGCACAAATGAATGTACGTTTTACGCTTATGAACAGCAAAAGGTGTAATATCGAGGACATTAATAAAGATGGCGTAAAAGATACTGACGTTCATAGGAGTTAAAAATCKTTGATGAATTTCGAGGAAAACATGAATGTTTTTCCGTGTTATACTTGTAAAATGTAAGACATAAGCAGAAGAATCTTTTTCTTTTTGAAGATTGATGAAGACGACGTGGATTTCATGGAGGTAAGCATAGATGTAGATTTCGGGGTAGGAATGACATAAAGATCCCGGGGGGGGGGACTCCCTAAYATCAAAGGGCGGGGRTCCTCGGCGGAGATTGTGAATATGAACCCTAAAAGKGGCATCAATTGTGAGATGATGGGCGTGGCAGTGCTGAAMTTCCAACMCTAAAAGGRACCAATCAATAACAAYTCATTTTGTTTTRGTTWACCSATTTCATTTTTGTTCTTATACAATCATCGAACACCGCCAGCTCGTATTGAGTTTATGACGACGCTGCCATTTTATGACTGCTTAGGGTCGCCGTATACCCTAAAAGGGACCACAAAACTCAGTKGGTAGGAATTCTTGTTAKGAACACCCTGAGCGGGACCAAAATACTGATTTCAAAYCCTGAAAGGGACGCCGAGGAACCCCGCCCTTTCATATTAAGGACTCACCCCCCGGGATAAAGACTTACCAACTCAATCTCGAACATGAATTTTCTGAATGATAGCTATGGACCTTGTGGAATGAGAGATAATAGCCCATTGGTTATCGCCTKATCGGCCTAATGGGATATTAGAGTAAGAACAAATTATCATATATTGAGTTCATCTTTAGCATGATTTTTAACACACGTCACAAAGTCTTAACCAACAGATTAATTGATGCAATAGTGGACAAATATGTATCAATATTTAAAGAAACGGGAATTACAAATATATCAATTGTAATGAACAATACTGAGCATATGATATCTTTTTCTTTTTGAAGATTGATGAAGATGAGGTGGATGACATGGAGGTAAGCATAGATGAAAATTTCGGGGTAGGAATAACATAAAGACTCACCAACTCAATCTCCAACATGAATGAAAAATAAGGTTTACATTAAATGAATAGTTGATAACGTCTATGAGGTATGTTCGAAACCGTCTTCTCATTAATGGATGAAAAAAGAATGGTTTGTATAATTTGCAGTTTTATCAGCTATATTCACCTTATAGTGTCTTGTTAGCATTTTCCGTTTGATCTTCATCAAATACTTCAAAAACCATAATCTAAGTTAGATGATC